GAGGAGGTCTCCCCTGAGCCTCCTCTTCTCCAGGCTGAGCCCCCCCAGCTCCCTCAGCCTCTCCTCACAGCACTTGTGTGAGGGTGTTTAAAAGGGCTGGGTATTTGACTCTATACAGGTGTTGTAGGAAAAAAGAGGCGATAACTTGGGATCTTGCCCTCGTTTAGGATGGGATTCCTGCTTTAGGATGGGATTCCTGCTCTAAATCAAACTTCAGAACTCAGCTCAGCGGGAGGTTTGTGGGGAGCTCAGAGAGGTGAAGATCCAGCCATGGCTTTCTCCTGCCTTTTCAGTCACTCTTTCTGTCCTCACAGACAACATCCCAAATTTTTCCCAAGGCCTGACTTTCCATGTTGGATCTCTGCAAACACAGGCCCAGACTCTATGTGGGAAAGTACTAAACATCTGAGTAGGACCAGTTGGTTTGGATTCCGTGAATTTTACCCACCCAGCCTGTGGAGCAGCTGGGCATGGAAAGCTGGGCGAGGTGTGGGATGCACAAGCAGATGCCCCTGGATCCTCCCAGCGAGGGAATGGGCTGGGATGGACTGATTTTTTTGGAAGGCACATCTAAACACTTCAGAATTTAGGTCACCCAGTCGATAATTCTTCTCTTTTTGGGGACTTCCACCTCTGCAACCTGCTCACCAAGTCCACTGCTTCTTCCAGGTGATTTTCTGAGGCCCCCAGGTGTTCTGTCCAGCTTCAAACCAAGGTCAATCTTCCTTAATTCTGACTGGGAAACTGGACCAAGAAGGAAATCACACCTGCATCTCTCTCCCACCCTGGAAGTGGTGCCTCCCACCCACTGGACCTGCTCCAGCAGGATAATAAAACCCTGGATGGCATCAGGAAGGGGACCAGGGTGCTTTTCCTCCTGGTCTTTTGCTCTGCCAGCACTTCTGAAATCAAGTGGAAGTGCTGAGGAGCAGCTTCTGAAGAAGCCAAAGCTCGTTTTTCATCTCAAGCACAGCCAAGTTATTAAACTTTTTTTTGTTGCAGACAGGGTGGATTCTAAAAGGGTTTGAAGGTTTGAAAAGGGTTTAAAGGTTTGAAAGTGGTTTAAAGGTTTGAAAGTGGTTTAAAGGTTTGAAAAGGGTTTAAAGGTTTGAAAAGGGTTTAAAGGTTTGAAAGTGGTTTAAAGGTTTGAAAGTGGTTTAAAGGTTTGAAAAGGGTTTAAAGGTTTGAAAGTGGTTTAAAGGTTTGAAAGTGGTTTAAAGGTTTGAAAGTGGTTTAAAGGTTTGAAAAGGGTTTAAAGGTTTGAAAGTGGTTTAAAGGTTTGAAAGTGGTTTAAAGGTTTGAAAAGGGTTTAAAGGGTTAAAGGGCTTTAAAGGGTTCCAAGAGGTGGACAAACACAGGGAAGCCAAAAATGCTGCAGTGCTGATAAACAGACACCACATCCAGCTTAGGAAGCTCCTGGGATGGAGATTTTCATCCTGTGCTCCTCTTATTCCTGCAGTTTTCCGGAGGTACCTGTTTCTGGCCACTGGCAGAGAGAAGAGAGCCTTCTTCAGTTTGTGGGGTTGATTTACATCAAGTGGCTCGAGCAGAATTCCCACATCCTCCATCACGTCCCTAGACAGACATTCCTGCTTCAGAGGATCCATTGGATGCTGTCAGGGAACGTTCAGCAAAGTCTCCCAGAATCCCAGCCTGGTTTGGGTGGGAAGGGACCTTGGAGATCATCTCATTCCAACCTTCTCCTTCCATGACATTGGAGCTGGGAGCTGTTTTAAAAACTGGGGTCGTGCTCAATTAAACCCTTAAAATCATTTTTCATCTCTTTTTTTGCTGTTGTTTCTGTCACCTCTCCTCTCCCCACCATTCCATGGCTGGTCTTTTTTTTGGGAGACATCTCTTGCCCCAGGACACAACTTCGGGTTTAAACTCTCTGAGATTCTGCCCTAAAATGTTTTTTTCTGTCCTAAAAATCCATGACAAAGTCAATGGATTTGGTATCTGTGCCCCAATTAAAGGGACAAAGAGGTGTCTGAGTTAGTTGCTTGTCCATTCAGAAATTCCCTAAGGAATGTTGCCTGGAGACACCCAGGAATATCTACAGAGGGAAAAAAAACAAACAACAAAACAACCTGGAAAACTGTTTTGAGAAAGAGAAGGAATTTTGGACTCCTCCACACAAAACACTCCCAAATTAATTCCATTAAAGGTTGTTCTTTTCAAGATTCTCCTGGTTTTCTCCCTGCCCCAGTGCTGCTGGATTTACCAGGAGCTGCTCCTGAACTTTGGGAGCAGCCAAAGATCCATCCCAGGAGCCACCCAGGAGTTTGAGGGACGCTGATCCAGCCCTTTGTGGGTGTAAATCAGCAGAACTTTTTGGATGGCAGAGGGGAGAACTGGCATCTATGAATCCTTTGGAGGTCAGAGGGGGTAAACTGTTGGAATTCTGGCCCCAAATGTTGTTGTTTAGGAGCTCTGGGAAGCACAGACAGCTCCCAGATCTGGCTGCAGGGCTGGTCGTACCCCAGGGCTTCCAGGAAAAGGGCAAAAGAGGCATCAGACACTCCAAGATGGTTGTCAGCAGCTGTCCAGGGGAGTTTATTCTTCTCAGAAATGAAAAACTCACGGTTTTCACGACTTTTTTAGGCAAGAGAAATAAGTATGGACCAGATCTCTTGTAATGGAGCAGAGGAGAGAGAAAGGAATCGCTGTGGGAATGGTAAAGTGGGAAATGAATCCCTAATTTTTGGCAGATTTGGCTCAGGGACCCCCCAATTCCAGGGCTGGGGCAGCCACAGCTTCCCTGGGCAACCTGTGCCAGGGCCTCCCACCTTCCTAGCCCAGGATTCCTTCCACAGATAAAACCCACATTTCCCCTTTTCCACTTTGAACCCATTGCCCCTGTCCTGGCACTCCAGTTCCTGGGGAAGTCCCTCTCCAGCTTCCTTGGAACTGGAGAGGGGGAGAGGGACTTCCTTCTCCTTCTCCTTCTCCTTCTCCTTCTCCTTCTCCTTCTCCTTCTCCTTCTCCTTCTCCT